GGCTATTATCTGCCTAATAGAAGCAAACTTCTCAGGATCGCATAGGCAAGAGCATGGCAGTCATGGCTTCCAGCTGGACAAAGGACTCCCATGTGATGTTTTTACTTAGACCTCTTCACATCTTCAAAGTCACTCCTAGAACTTAGCAGCCTAAGAACTTGTTAGCTCAGATCTATCCAGAATTTAAGCCATACCGTGATTATTGGCCACTGTCACATTGGCTTTGACCCAGGCCTGCTTTGTTCTCTTCAACATTATTATTATTATTATTATTATTATAACATTTCTATGCCGCCCCTTGCCGAAACCGCGGGGCGGCTTACAAAAACCTCGGGGCGGCTTACATCTCTATTCCCTTGCGATTCATGGGGTGTTTCCCAGGTTGTGCAATGTCCTTTAGCCACCCCACCTCTTGACTGGCCTTGTTAGTGCTTTTCTCCCTCTAATATATACTCCTCTTGCATACTACAAAGCTACTGAACAGCGTCCCCTCCCATATCAATTCTTCTCCCCTTCCTCTAAATAAAGGAGTGGGTAACTTGTAGGATTCCACATGTTTTGGCCTACAACTCTCACCATTGACTAAGTTGGCTAAGACTAATGGCATTGCAGGCTGAAACACCCAGAGGGATGCAAGTTGATCACTTCAACGAAAAAACCCAGTCTCTCTCAATCTTCTGTCAGATTCTTCTTTCTCTAAGAACCAAAACAGACAGTGCTTTTTACTGTTTTCCTAGCAGATATGACACAATGTAGACACAACAGAGGAAACCAGATCTTAAAAGGTTCTGTACTCCTATGCAAGGGTCCCAATATAAACATTGAAAACTAATGTCCATTTTGGTTCTCGGTCTGTTTCTGTTAGGCCTGAAAGTTTCTCAGTTGCAAGACACCAACAAGACCAGGTCTGTGATCAGCAAGGAGACCATTTCTCTCACAGGTCCTTAAAATGAGATTCAGTACTTCAAGGCAACTGTCACGGGACAGGAAATCTTTAACAATGCCCCCTGGTTACATGGACATGAAGCCCCTGCCCTTTGGCCACACTTAGCCCCACAGGTTAGGTAATTTGTCCTGACCTGAGTATGGCTCGAGAAATCCCTAGCATTAGGGATTTCTCATTCCCAAAATGGTATCTCCCACCCAAGGCTGATATATCACAAACAATTTCTAGAAATATTCCATTTTGACTCTGTCTTGAGAGCTTGGCAACTTGTGGCTCTCCAAATAGTTATTTATGTGCAAACTTTTTATTTTTATGTTTATAAACTGACAAGTAGTTCAAGTAGTAGACTAGGCAGCATACAATTTATATACCACTCCAGATTTAAACAGATCCCAAAGAATAAAATGCTATATTATAATAGAGTATCAATAAAACTGTGCTTGGTTAAAAATATTGGAATAAAGGTGTTTTCTGGAAGTGTCACGGTTGGCACTATACTGGTGCCTGCTTGTCCTCCAGAGGCAGCAAATTCCACAGAAACAGGGCTGTCTGGTAATATTTTGGCCTGTGACTTCCATCAGTCCTCAGTGGCACAACCAGTGGTGAGAGATCATGGGACTATAGGTCAAAATATTTAGAGGACCACAAGCTGACCACCTCCAGTTGTAAGAAAAGAATCTTTATACATTTTTTCCCAAATGGAGCTCCCTCTGTATAAAAAGTGGTGATATGAACTGTGCAATATTCAAGCATAGACATTCTGTTATGAAATGGCAGACCCCAAATGAAGTATTGGCTACAGAAGGAAATATTTGGCTTAGCTGTCTTTGCAAACATATGCAGAACATTGGGTAATCAAATTTCTCTCAGTTCTGGGCTCCTAAATGTGTCAGATCAATAGAGTATTTGCTCTTTATTGGAGAAGAACAAAAGAGAGATTGTAGGATGTTCAAATTGGCAAGGGAAAACAAATAAATTGCAAAGTTCAAACACGGAATACCAGTACACAATAAAAGTAAATCATTGTTTGGATAGAGTAGAAAGCAAAGCAGAACCAGATTAGACTGGTTTTATCTTACACATAGTATCACTTTATTTTTATTAATACTATTCTAGTAACCATTCTATTTTGTAGTAATTGCACATTAATCTGATCAACACTTTAAATAATAATAATAATAATAGTCATTTGTTGCCATCGAAAAGCTAGGATCTGCAAGAACAGATCCCTGCAGTGAGTCCCAGAAGGAAGAGGAGTGTTTAGATTATGGATTGCAAGACGCATTTAAAAAGCAATGGCTGCAGTTTCCAGAAGATCCATCGAGAGATCAAGACCCCCAAAACTGCAACAATAGGTAGAATTAAGTGACACTGCTGGACTGGCAGGAAACATTGCTGCCATCTACTTGACAGAGAGGCTGAGAACACTAGGAGGAAGAAAAGGCAAGACACTGGCAGCCAGATCAGAACAATGCATACATTCCAAACCTTGGCTGGGCTGAGAAGCCTTACCCTCCACACCCTGGCCATTAGTACCAGGCAAGCGCAGCAGCCAGGACTTAGACTTTTGTTCTACCATGCCAACTTAGATGTTCAGTTAGGCAACACCCTGTATCTTTCCCTCTGTATTTCCTCTCAACTGAATAATTCCTATGGAGGAGGAAGAGAAATCACCTTTTCTAAGGCCTAGCTGGCCCTGGCAGGAATGGGGGATGTTCCTTTTTATTTAACTGTTTCGCCTTTGCTTTTTTCTTTTTACTGTCACTGTCCATTGAAACCATTGGAGGTAAATAAATTATACCAGCTCTAAGGCTGATATACTTCTTCCCCTATCCTGGGGGCAGGTTGGAGGCATGGGAAGTCCAACAGATCCACAGCTCATCCCAGTATGCTCCCCAGAACACCTCCTTTGTGCACACTCTGGCAGCAGACCTTTCTGCAACTTCACTGAGGATGGCTTGCAAGAAGCTCTTCAAGGATGTACCTCTTTCTCCAATCATGAAGGGAGAGGTACAAAACAAAAAACTATGGTCCCAGGGATACCCTCCAAGGGACCACAGAAATGTACCATCTCCTCAAGGCATCCATCTTTTCCAGCTGCCATGCTACTCAGAGGAGTGGAAAACATTTATTATTATTCTTGGGGCACATGTGCACACACTAATATGTTAATACAAAAGAGAAAGTGATATGGCTTTCTTCGTACATGAGCTCTTTGAAGCACCTTTACTGCACTGATGGGGTTTCTCCAAAAGTTCCATGGTAGAAAATGGGATGGGAGCAGGAAGAAGAGACAGGGAAGAAAATTGGGTGGGGAGGAATAATGCAGAAAGGAGGGCTCCACATCATCTGTAACCATTCATCTACACCTGCTGAGGAGCACCATTGAGACACAATTAAAAGCTTTGAGTTGATATTTTTAAGGAACTAAAAAAGAAAGCTACAAAAAATCTCTACAAACTAGCATCTTAGCACAACAGCACACACATGAACAAGAATGTAATGATTTGGGAGGAATCTCACTTCAGGAATAAACAAGTGAAAAAATTGTGTCTGCCCTGAAGGAAAAGGCTAGTACAGAAGTAGCCAGAGTGATCTCCAGGAAAACTAGTTGCTAACAAATACACATACTTACTACCAAGACTTTCCCTCTCAGGGTTGGTTTACGTTTATTAAGTGTGACCATTTTGGGATAGTATTTAAGAAATGTGATAATAGACAGATCTAAAACATAAAAATGTTTTAATAAATAAATAAATAAATAAATAAAGCTAAAACTTAAATGTTCTCATTTAACTAGCATGACAATCAACATTCTGCATCTGTCTTCTCCAAAAGAAAAGTGATCCACCAAATTATTTATATACCGATTCAGCAATAGTTGGGCAAGCAGAAATTAAAGATCCAACAGGCTTTTATTTTTAGTAAAGGATTTAATGGGGTGTTGAGAGAGTTCTTGCTTATTAAATGCATAGAATGGGAGCATTTACTAATCTGTTCGCTTCTGAAGCTCAATTGTCCCTTTGTCTAAAAGCCAACAAGCTAGGGCAACATCATATAAACTACCTTCTTTAAAAGGGCAAAATAATGTTTTCAATCACATGGAAACATGTGATTCCTATTCCACATGGAATAGGGCTTTGAGGGTTATTTAGGTCATTTTTTGAACCAGGGGTCATTAAGTCCCTGTTCCATTGCCTGTTTCAACTTCAGCAGTTCTAACCTGGACTATATGATTAAGGGCATGAGTACCAAAGGCCATGTACAGAGTACCTTACCTCCATCACAGAGTGTCTACAGCCTACTCCCTCACAACTGTGTTATTTGACCGCAGGGTTTTTCAGGGCTTTTTTCTGAGGGCCTAGGTTCCAAGTCGACTGGATAGCTATCATTGCATTACTGAAGCCATGAAATGAGGCTGTTTAAAGTAAGTTGGCAGAACCAGAGAGAAAGATAAAACGTTGTTATTTTCAAACACATCTGATTCTCCATTGGGTCTATCCCATCCCCAGCTCCCCATCCATGTGGTACTCTAGCAAAGCTCCCAATGCCTTGGCATGCCACCATGCAGACATACAGCCCACTACAAAATCGCCTGCATTGGCCACACCAGCTAGGAGAAAGGCTGGACAAGACGGCCATCAGAAGCCAACTTCCAGCCTCGAAAGCCCAGAGAAGAAGGTCCCTTGTCTTCGTGAGCGCAGATTTTTAAGGACGGGAGGAGGAGGGGGAAATAGGTGGAGAATAAGCGGGCACACGGGGCGACAGCGGTGAACACGGAAACCACATTCTGCCCCACTCAATCTTCAGAGAAGTTTGACCTGCGCAGCCCACAATCCCAGCTCAGGAGGTCGTGGGGGCGGCAGCTGCCCACAAGCCTCCTGCCCGCGCCCCACCCGCAGGACCGCCAAAGAGAGACGAGGCAAAAATGCGCCCCGGCGGTCAGACACGCCGAGCTGCTCGTTGTGGGGGGGGGACGAGGGGAGGCGAGAGCCCTCCCCATCGGGGCGGTGGGAGCGCGGCCACCCCCGAAAGAGCCCGCCACGTCTCTCACCTTTCGAAGACCACGCGGATCATGAAGATGCAGAAGGCCACGGGGAAGACGAGGTAGAGATCCTCCACCTGAGGGAAGGTGGCCTCTTCGGTGCTCTTCAGGTCCGCCCAGGTGACATTGTGTGGCAGCCAGAACCTCTCGTTCCAGAACCAGGCGAGGATCCCTGCCATCTTTGCTTTGTCTGCCTCGCACGGCTCCGCTGCGCCGCCGCTCTGCCGGCCTCTCTGCCCCGCTAGCCGATGCCGCCGAGAAGGATGCTCCGCCGCGCGCAAGCGTGCGTGTGCCCGGCTTATCGTGCCTTAAATCCGACGGCTGAGGCGCCGCCGCGGCTCTTGAAGGCGCGCCCAACCCCTCCCGGAAGCGGCCGCAGCCCTCGCCCCCAAGCTGGGCCCGCCCTGCCTTTGACCGTCCCTCCCCGGAGGCTCCGCCGCGCCCGCGCCGCTCGCCGAGGAAGGGCCCGCCCCGCCTGTCACACGGCCCTGCAGGACGCCCCCGCGGATTGGCTCCGCGGAGTGCCAGCCAGCTGGAGGCGCGGCCCGCCCTAACGCTCCCGCCGCGGACGCCGCTCGCCGGCGCGGGAGGGCCCCGCGGGGATGCGCGGAAAGTAGCCCTTCCTGCGGCTGCTGCGCTCCCCGCGCTGCCGGCCAGCATCGCTGCCGGCTCGGGTCGGCATGATGTGCGATTGAATCGCTCGCCATGGGAGGTGTTCAGGCTTCTGCGTATCTGTCGCTGCGGCCGTCCTGGTGATTTCAAACAAAACAAAAGAACACAAAAATGCAGGTACCTGCAAACAAACTGTGAAAAGCATGAAATTGAGACGTGAGTCTATCGAAAAGAAACCATCTTTTGCAGGCATTATTTATAAGGTGCCTAAAATACCTGCGGCCTTAACATGGTGCCTGAGGAGCCACCTTGTCCTCATTTTTCATGTATTTGCTACACATATATATGGGGGGGGGGGGGCGTTCGTTGTGCGATGTCCTCCAGAGCCATTGGATTCCAAAGTGTACTTTTGTGTTTTGGAACTCAGAACTGCCCCTACCCCCAGTGCGCCTTTTCTTTAGGTTCTTGACCAGGTAATTTTTCTTTTAGGCTGTCCAGTTTGCCTCCTCTTGTGTGTGTGTCTTTGCGACTGGCTATGCACAAAAATGGTAGCCTTTTGGGTAAGTACCTGCTTCCCCTGCTATGGCAACTATTTTGTGAGGATATCCATAGCACTGTCTCAGATTTTTACCTGTCCATTTCCTTAGATATGTGGGGAAGACCCCTGCATGCAGGTACAGTAGGAAAATTAACACAGACCCTGTTCTCTGGCTTATAGTTAAAGATTAAGATGCAAAAGGGAAAAGAGGATGGGTAGGGGAGAGAAAAAATAAGCAAATTAATGGAGGATTGATCTATTCAGAGCTATTTGTCATGTATTTCTATGACATTGTTGCAACAGCAAAAGAAGGTTATTGCCTTCAACCCATCCTTGGGGGTTTCCTGGCCTCATCAGGTAGGCTTCTGTGGGACACAGGCTGATGGTCCATATGGTCCTTGACTTGGAAGTAAAAGGGTTCTTTTTATGTGTAATACTTAAATTCTCAGGCTCTCCATATGTACTTTGACAAGTTTGATACATAATCTTCCCAGTCCAGGCTTTGAAAAATTTGTGAAATTTTAAAAGTTGAAGAAAAGGAAGAATGTTGTCAGGTGCTGCTTAGTCTGGCAGTGTAGCACTGTAGCCTGGTTAAATTCTTCTTTTTGAGATACAGGAGTTCCATTTCCAACAGAGGGAGCAAACTAGTCTTAGAGCCAAGTCAGAGCTTTCAGCAATATGCACCATGAAGAGGAAATTTGGATTAGAGTTCCAGACATGGGCCTAACCAGTGCTTTTTTTGTAAAAAAAAAAAAAAAAAAAGTGCTGGAACTCAAGTCCTGGGGTCACACTTTTACGCAATGGTCGCTGCCGGCAGTAAGCACTCAGCGCGCGACTACATGACTAATCCCAAGCCAAGCAGCATCCCAAGCCGAGCTGCGCCCTCACAATCATCACTGACACACAAGCAGTCCACAGGTACTATGTTAATGATTTTTGCTGCCAACCTGCTAGGCCCAACAGGGCGATTCACAATCACTTGGAAAAATCCATCAAAAAAAGGTGCCGGAACGCCATTCTGGTGTGCTCTATGACAAAAAAAAAGCCCTGGGCCTAACAACCCTAGCCCCAATGGATAACAGCATCTTCTGTTAAGATCCAGGCTTGCATCTGCATTTATGTATGGGGAGCAAAACTCCAATAAGTTTCTTCCTGCATTGGAAAAATTAATAGGGAACTTATGGGTTACATATAGGCCACTTCCAAAGCAGCTCCTGCCAAGAGAAGAAATAATAGTTCATAGTTCAGTCAGTCCAATTCCCAATGAGGTTTACTTGGAAGGAAGTCCGTTTGATTCCAAAGGCACTAACAAAGAGTGATAGGGGAAACTTCATTTTGAGTGTCAGGTTCTGTTAAAATAAACATCAGCAGGATACGCTAACAGCCAAAGAGCGATAAATCACTTAATGCAGAATATAGTTATCAGTATTTCTTTTATTGTTCCTAGTCAGTCAGCTAATCAACAATTCTCACAGGAGTCTACAGCAAAGGGTAAAAAGCAGATGCAATATAGAGGAGATCTTGACATTCCTTGTTATAGGATCAACCTGATATCTTTCCTGCTTTAAAATTTGACTGATGGATGTGCGTGTTGCCAAGCTGCATGGTGATTATGCGTTATTTCCTCCACGCCACCTGTCTGCATTCTTAAGGCACCATCTTATCATTTTATTAACAAAATGAACTTTGTTAATTAATAAAGAGCGAACCCATTCTGGGAATTTAGGGAAGGTGTCATAAGTGCTGGCTAATAAGTGCTGTGCCCATTTAGCTTATGCTGTAAAAGTGTTAGACCGCAAAACCAGAATAGGAACATACATTTAAATTTAACCTATGGGACTCTGATAGAAACATTTGCAGCACTTAGGGCTTGTGTTCAGGGTTCCAGGTGCTCGTTTTTTTAAAAATTTGGCTTGGGAGGTTTGAGGGGCTTGGGAGAGATATACTTGCATCCACTATGATGCTGTTGCACTATTTTTCTTATTTCCCTCTTTCTTGGTAAGATACTTTGTACCACTGCAGACCTTGAAACTATAGGCATTCTCTGGGTTATGAATGAGTTTCATTCCTGAGAAAATGGAAATTTTTCCTTAAGTTGAATTTGTATGTCAGGTCACATATTGTTGGCCTTCCATGTTCATGGGGGTTAGGGATACAGAACCTCTGTGAATGTGGAAAAACCACACATATCTCTACCCCACCCCCACCCCGCCCAAAAATCACTAGTGCTGCTTCTCTGCAGCAAGGGAATGCCAGAAAGATTTCGTTCTCAGGATGGGCAGGGAAGGAAGGCATAGTTTGGAGGCCTTCCTCTGCCCACTTTTGCTTCTGGCCTCTCTATGGTGATGATGATTTTTCACAGTCACCTTTTAAAATTAACTGGCTTTATTGCGGTTCATTCGTAAGTATGGGTTGTTCATAACTCAGGCATTCATAACTCAAGGATTGCCTGTATTCTGAAATTGCAGATACCCCTTTTATGTCTGGTGGTAATGCAGTTTGGAAGACTTATAAGAAATAAAGTTCTGATAGTGTGTGCATCCTATTACGTTAAAAATGCTCCATATCCACCTCTCTTCTCTCAGTTTTGTTTGTTTCTCTTTTGTATCAGTTCTCAGTAATCTGGGTTATTCTGTTCAGTGTGTGTCACACCAAGTCATTGAGTCTGCCCTAGGCGAAACCTTTCCCCTGCTTTATTTACTCCATCTCTGAACTATCATACTTACTTAATTGTAGTTCCTTTCTTTTTGTTGTTAGGAGTTGTCAAGTTGTCTTTGACCTACGGCAACCCTATGAAAGAAAGACCTCCAAAATATCCAGTCCATGACAGGTCCAGATGGCTTTCTTTATGGATTCAATGCATCTCATATTTGGTCTTCCCTTTTGTCTTCTGCCTTTGATTTTCCCGTAACACATGTTATTGTGTTCTCTGGTGAGTCTTTCCTTCTCAAGATGTGTCTGAACTATGGCAGCTTCAGTTTTGTCATGTTTGCTTCTAGGGAAAACTCTAGCTCAATTTGCTCTAGATCCCATTTGTTGGTCTTTCTGTTGATCCAGGGTCTCAAAGCTGGCCTTGAGGACCATGTTTTAAACATATCCATTTTCTTCTTATCAGCTTTCTTCACTGTCCATACATTGCTACTGGGAATGTGATAGTTTGGATGATCTTGACCTTGGTCTTCTGTAAAACATCCTTTCAAGTTCCTTCATGGTTGCTCTTCCAAGTCTTGGTTTTCTTTGAAATTCTTGGCAGCAGACTCCATAAATAACAGAAAAGTAAAATCATTACCTTTTCACAACTCAGTTCAGCAAATCGCTTAGAGCCAGGTTGGCTGCCTTTCCCCTCACAACTGCATTAATGATTGTCCCAAGATCTATATGTCTATATCTATTGATAGAGCTGGGAGTTGCTAAGCAGAGACTAACAATTAGATGGGTGATTCATCTTTGCTAAATATATTTTAATATCTATGCCATATTTGGTTGAGGTGAGACTTAGAGCAATTCACAGTAAAATAAAAATGCAGACTGTTGCTCGAAGCTTGTTAGATCTCCACTTTAGATATTAAAATCTTTTTATATCCCTAACATTCTTTCATTCTGTGACCTTTCCCCATACATCTGTATGTTGCCTTCTTAGTTCAAAAGATGTTTGTTCTGTGTGGAGAATTAAAACTGAGAGTTTCTTGACACTTTACATTTTAGGTATATATCCAATGCTTTCAGTAATATGGGAAGACAAAGAAATATTGAGGAACTTGAGAGACAACGCTCCAGCATAATGCAACAGGGAACTGGCAGTTCCATGGCCATGATATTCAGTGTACCATACTATATGAGTAGCTTTTGGATCTCACTGTGTCATAAGAACTTAAGTATGACTTCAGAAACCTGAACAATCAGGTTTCAAGATGTCTACAAACTCAAGATATGCTACTTAGGCCTTAGAATGGGTCCAGAAGGAACACAGTATACAAACAGGAGTGACCCTTGAGAACTGCAGCGACAGGAAATGCTGCATAGAGTGTAACTTAGTCTAAAGCCTGTTGCCTTAATTCCTTACTCACATGTATGTGTGAACTTGCATGTTTACACATGTCATGAGAAATGTGGGGTTAAAGGGACTTCTCCTCCCCTCCCACCAAAACCCAGCCTTTCACCCTTCTCTGAAGTCACATTCCCAACCCTTCTCTGAAGTCACATTCCCAACCTTTCTGCAGCAACTGTGTGAGGGAGCAGCAGGGGGGCTGAGCTTGGCTTCCTAGCTCCAAAGTTGGCATGTGGTCTCCTGCTTCCAAGCCAGACATCTTGAAGCATCTTGTGGCTGCTCAGATGCTGTCTAGCGGCCATGGGGTTGCTCAGGCACATACCACTATGAGCATGAATTGGTGAGGGCTTCCATAGCTAGATGAAAGCCCATGCGCAATGGAAACAATTGTTCAGGCTTGATTGTGTTGACTTGTCTCAGCAAAGTGTCTGTCTTTGACCCCCTGAACAAATCCAGAAAGTGCTCTTCTGAATATGAAAAGGTGATTTCATTTTAGAAAGAATAGCAGGTGTGTGTGAGTCATGGCGCTAATGTTTTTTTTGCTGGAGGAATATGCATCACGGAAATAAGAGAGTAATGATTTGCATCCTTTCTTGTTTCAGAGCTCATGACCAGTGTTTTGGAAGTTGGCAGGTGACTTCTTGCTGTACAGGTATTGCTGGATCCTGAACTGCATCCAGTTAATTGCTGCCATATGGGAACTTTTTTGTTCTTCTGCCTCAGATGCTTTCATCCCTTCAGCTCTGTCTATATTGCATTCCAAGAAATATTACTTTCTGAATGCAGATGAAGTTGAAACTGAAAGTTTTTGATAATGCTAAATTTCTAGCCCAAAGGAGTGTGGATCAGTCTAATGAAAAACCTGTTGTAATTCCAAAATATGTTCAATGCAGTAAATATTGGGAAGCATTTGGCATATTTCTTGGACTGCAACCCTTGTATGCAGGATGATCTCACAACAACTAGTTGGGCAGTAGGGGAGAATATTTGGTAATATGGGGGGTAATAAGGAGAAAAGAAGATGAGAACTGTTGTCTTAATGCAGTCCTGGATGGGATTCATACTTTTTTTAAAGCTTTGAACCTGCAAATACTCCTATCTGTACTTTCTAACTTCCTGGATCATCCAAAGGGCTTGCACCTAAAACACCTAGATAACCTGGGGAGAATGTTTGTGAGGGACACATGGTGCTCAGAAAGGGAATGGGGGGGGTGGCCCCAATTTATTATGTGTTATAACCTATTGATTGATTGATTGATAACTTTAATACCCCATCTATACCAAAGGTCTCAAGACAAGCTATTTTAAAAGGCTATAGGAAAAAAATAAGCTAGCCAAAGTTTGGGGGGTGGGGGCAGAAAGAAGGACCTTTGGGAGGGCCTGAATAAAATGTACATTTTCCCCATATTTTTAGCACCAGGCAAGTCAAATTCCTCACTGAAAGGGGTATAAGCCATTCAAGAGGACCCTCTCAGTGGTGCAGTGGATGTGGAACATCTTGTCCAGGTATGTGTGGTAAACACAGACTTCAGGCACCAGGTTTTTTTTCTCCCCCTCAAAAACTTTCAGTGGGGGATTGGTGGATGCTGTTTTGCAGGCTGTTTTATGTGAGAGTTGTTGTTTTTTTCTTTTTACTTGTTTCTTTTCTTTTTTTCTGTTTTGATAGTATTATAAACTGCTTTCGCCATAGACAGATAAATAGGTGGATAGATATAAAGACAGATATTATAAGAAAGTGCTACAGAAGTATTTTATCTATAACATATAAGTGGGGAAATTATATAATAAAGATTCATACACACAAATCTTTCTCATTGAAATACTTAATTGTATTCTACTCCTGATTTTTACCTTTAAAATTATCATTGAAAGATGTTGCACATATACAGACTAATTGTCTGAGCAACACTTTATGTAGACAAAACTTCCAAATCTTCATTATTTTAAAATGTATTATATTTGTAACTTGCCCCATTGGTTGGACCATGGGTGGCTCACAGAAATTTTGTGCATCTGCTCACAATCTGAGTATTAACACTGAATGACATTGAGGGCAAAGTAAAAATGTGCATCTTTTCTGTTAAGTATTTTTTTTTGAGGGGGAGGTGCTGCTTTGGCAGGTTATATTTGTAAGCTAATCCTTAGGCAGGGGAAGAATTCTTGTGCTTGAAAAGACTGCCCACTGCTGGAATAACCAAGAATTTCTATGCAGTTCAGGAAATGATTATGTAACTGTGATATATGAAAAGCTTTTAACTGCTTTTTAGTTCATTCCATCCTAGGTATTATGAATCTTGAAATGCATAATCTATTCAGTAATGCTTTTTGCTGTACTTTAGACTATGAGAGAAGCTGAATTAATTGACTAGATTGTGAAAATTAGATACTCGGCACCAGAAAGGAAGCGGCAAATAAAGCTTATACCTGAAGGTGGCTCCAGTACAGGTCCCTGTGGGTGCCAGCATTCCTCCCAGAATCTTCCCTGACACCTGCTTATTCACCCTACCTATCCTTCCAAAACAGATATTATTTTTAACATAACAGATTAAAACATTTTCTCACAGATAGCTGGGGTTGCTTGAAAGCAAGATAAGGTCCCTGCTGCTGCCTTCTTAATTTCCCATGAATGCCTCTGTCTGGCACAGTGGGTCTCAGAGACAGGGGTGTGAGCAGGGGCAATAGAGAGAGGGAGAGAATATCTTCTGGGTGATGATCCCGAATGAGACAGAAATAGCGACAGCAGTAATGAGCTGGCTGAGGAGGAGGAGAACAAAAACGAGTTTGCCTTTTGCAGTTTTTGTTTTAATTGGTGCTGAATAATTTTCTGTTGAGTTCAAAGGAACATTGCTGTTCAGACTCCACCTGTGCCCTGAACACAGTTGTTTAGCAGGTTTCTTGGCCTTTGTGACTAGCTGCCCTGCTCCTCTTCTAAGAGGACATGCTTCTGCTGGTACAAGGCAGGACAGCTTTTTTCACTGAGGTGCCCTTCACCACATGCACACACCCCTGTGGTACTCGTAGATCTCTGGGCCATATTCCACAGAGTCCCAGAGGGTTCCCAAGTTTCAGGAGCAGTTGTGAACTGCCCAGAGAGTTTTGGGTACTGGTCAATATAAACATAACAAGTAAACAACAACACACTACTACTACCAGTAATAATGATGATGATGATGATGATATAGGAAGTGTATTGATTAGTTTGGGAAATTTACCTGGCCATCACCACAAAATGGCTGCCATGGGTGGCATGACAAAGTACCTATGAGCCTGAGGACAAAGCAAAGATGGAGGTCTGAGCCCTAACCCTCTAAACAACATCTATGAACCCACTGTTCTTGGATTCAACAGGCATTTATTTCACAGCAGTCCCTGCTGCTAGTAAAAAATGTGCTAATTAAAAAAATGAGAAAGGTGGGACACCTTGGCAGGTGCCAAGACTGCATTATGGGGGCCACATTGCCTGCCCCTGCTCTGTACCTTGGGGAGAAAAACAGGTGGCAGAAACCGAACGATAAGGGAGGCTGGCCTGTCCACTTTTGGTGCCAGCTCTGCCCACTGGTGGCTTTGGGCCTGGGGAATCGAAAGAGTACAGCACTAGCATGTACTCTCCCTGCCCCCTGACATACTAAGCTCCAGGGGAGTGGAACTGTTGACAGAAAAGAGGTTCACTCTATTTCCTCTAGTTCAGCTTTCCCCAACCTAGTGCCCTCTGAATGCTTTGGACTAAAGTCCCGTCACCCTTAAGCCTGGGTCATACTGGCTAGGACTGATGGGGTTTGTAGTCTTGAGAGTGCCAGGATGGGGAAGGCGTCCATAATGCAAAGCTGCCTCTGGATGCAACACAAGGATGGAGTCTAAAGGAAAATAAAAAGGCATCTGCTTGAATTGTCTTCCAATTTTAGACCACACAACAATTTTTTTAATCAGGAAATATTTTTCATTTATGATTCCTGTGGCTACTATATTGTATTCAATTCTCTGCCATGATTTTTGCAATGAAATTAAGTCACATGTAATTTCAGCAAATGCTGAAACTGCTCCTGGAGGCCACTAAAATAACATTCCTTGTACCCAGGCACCCCATGTGTGTGCAGCTACCACAGTGGAAGGAATTCTTCCTATTTGATTTGTTTTCTGTTTTCCACAGTGAGAATAGACTTAAGAGACTTCTTTTCTTTCTTTTCTTCTTTACATGGACTCCTGGTCCAATCTTTTGAATATAACAGGGTTGAGTGTTTTTTGGTGGGTGGTTGCAAATAAAAGGATAAGCACATCTAGAATGGTAACCCTGAAAGAGGAAAATGATGGATTGCACTGGTTGTAGGGGTTTGCACAATTGGAAACGGGGTGGGGGGGGGGAGATCGCCCACAGACTGCTGCATACCCTCCCCCATAGTCCTTTGTGCCTCCTAAGAAACAGGATCAGAATTGCTCTGAATAACTTTGGGATAAACCCGGATTCTGCCCAGCAGGTGTGTATTTTTCTGGATCCTCTTTGGGAGTTAGCTTGTTTCAAGTAAACATTTAGGTACAGGGCTGAAAACTGAAACTTTTTACACTGAAAAAACCTCCGACAGGCAGCATTCTGCAACCAATGATTCTTTTCTTTCTAACCATGCACAGGAATATGCTCTTATAGATATTCCTTCAAAAATCCAACAGGGAATTAATTTTCTAATATGCGACCCAAACATCGCATGTATTTTAAACTCGTGTGGTGCAAAACCAGGAAGGGACAATAAAGCGCACTTTGCATGGGATCCAAAGTGGGAGAGTTCTGAAACGGCACACTCTGGGACTAAATCTAGGGAGGTCGTGTTGACAGAGCCTGACTATGGCCGCACAGGGCTGGTGTTGTTCCGGGTGGGTTGGACTATGGCCTCTGGACCACTCTCAGGGCTGGATATATGCAAAGAGGGGCTCAGAAGCCTCTGGGAGAAAGAGATTGAGAGGACTAGGTGAATGTTCAAGTGTGGCACCCCAACTTTGGAACTCGATTCCTCTGGAGGTCCAGTTGTCACCTACGCTTTTGGCTGTTAGGTGCCAGCTTAAGACATATTTATTGCACCTATTTATTGTTATTTTACCAGGGGAATTCTTGACTTTTAATGTTTTAAATTATGATGCTAATAAAATGCTGCTGCCAGTATGTTTAAATGCTAGCTCTTGATATAAACAAAAAAATTAATTGGTTTATATTAAAAATGCTTTAAATAAATAAATAAATAAATATTTCGCTTTTGGAGTGTTATATAATTTATATTTTATTTATTGTTCTACTGTTTCTATTTTGTTTATTTAATGGTTTTCTTATTGTTGGTCTTCGTAACTGTGTTGTGTCGTGCATTGTATTGTTTTTATGCTGTCTAGGATTTCATCATGAGGTTAGCTTCCCCAGAGAGCCTATGGCTAGTGGGGCACCATATAAATTGAATAAATAATTCAATAAAAATAGATAATTGAGAGAACAGAATTCTGTGACAGTGAGCTGTAGGAGATGTGCATATCCCAGTGCCTAGTCCATATGTTGGATCACAGTGACACAAAGGGGTAGGCAGAGCTGAATGGAAAGACATTTCAGCATATACAGACACAGGTCTTGTGCCTATCCCTAACCTAATTAGCCAGGTCAAAATAAATGCCTCACAGTAGGAACTGAAGCACCTTAACCAGGTGGCGGATGTAAATACACTCACCAAAGAGTGGCATAGCTTTCCCAAGACGCTATGTCTGTATGTGTGGCAGAAATCCCCACTCTTGGACACAGCACTGCAGGAGGATGCCATTTTGATTAGATTTAACAGAGCCATCCTAATGCTTAAGGCTGATTGATCTTGGCTGGGCTTACTTCCCTTTTACCTGTTTTTAATTACTGTATGAAACCAGCACTCTGGTGCCCATCGTTTTGGTGCCTTATCGCTGGTGCTGTGATCATCAGTTCCTCAGTGCAGTCACCTTGGTGAAGTCCATCCCCAAGAATGTCAAGAACACAGCACACCATGTCCTGGTAGCCTATGTCCTGCTTCTGCTGCAGTGGGGGCCTGACCCATAGCAGCTAGAAGCTTTGCTGGAAAAGGTGTTACCTGCAGGAGTTCCCCCACTTCCCATCTTCATCTTCAGGATGATTCAGCCGAAAACTTGGAAGGATATCTTTCAGACCAAAGCCTGTCCTCCAGAGGTCCTTTCCCTACTGATCCTGCTTCCAGATAGGGTGCATGCTCCTCACAGACCTCATTTTTACACAGAATGGACACTTACTTATTCATTCAAAACATTTATATGCCACCTGTTTTGCCCATGGCATCTCTAATGGACATTCATTTATTTAAAACATTTATATGCCACCTATTTCTTCCATGGCCTCCCTATCCCCTATAGACATGGCTTGCAAATCTGGCCATGTCTACAAAAGACAGTGCCCGATGCAAAGAGACAAAACAGACAGACTGGGAACCACATGCTGCCCACCTTTGATTTCACAGC